GCACGCATGCCAGGGCTGGAACACTGGGGCCGTAAATCCTCCTTTTACAGATAGGGGACACTAAAGCCCAGAGGGATGGGTCTGAGGCCATAGGACAAGCCAGAGCTAAAACCTGGTCCTCTGGCTTAAGATGCTCTCATTTAAGTTCAAGTTCAAGTTCACCCCCCCCTACAGAGACCCTCAGAGAAGAAGTTCCCTTTGATTTGGGCCTCTGCAAGCACCCCAGCCTGGCACCCACAGTCTGGTCTCTACCTCTGTGTGGGGGGCACACCAGCTGGCTGAGAAGATCTGGACCTGCACAGGGCCTTAGGCACCTTACTGCACCTGGAATCCAGCCTAGCCTGGGTTCCTCTTCCCAGACCCCAGACTCCAGGCTCCAGTCAGGAGAAACACACCAGCTAGGCAGCAGCCATCTCAAAGCCTCATTCATCTACCTGGGCCACCGCTTTCCCGAAAGAGAGGAATTTGCATTTTTCCACATGGCCACCCCTCAGGGTCTCTAGAACCTGCCCATGCGAACTACAGTGTGAAGGACAGTCTTCTAAAACAGGCACCGGCAGGTGCATTTGGCTCACGCCTGGAATCCCAGTACTTGGGAGGCCATGGTGAGCGAATCACTCCAACCCAGGAGTTCAGACCCACCTGGGCAGCATAGCAAGATCCCATCTCTACAAAACATAAAAGGCAGCCAGGCTTGGTGACACACACCTGTAGTCCCAGCTACTGGGAGGCTGAGGCAGGAGAATCGCCAGGCCCAGGAACTCGAGGCTACACAGTGGTTGTGGCCCAGCACCACTACACTCTAGCCTGGGTGACATTTTTGAGCCCTGTCTCAAAGAAATAAATAAAAATAAAAATAAAATGGGCACCTGCTGAAGTGCAGATAAACAGCCAAAAAGAGCACTGCCCTCCCAGAGTGCTGCTGGCCCAGCCTCAGGGCCACCAGGCCATAACTCTGGCAGGCACTGTTCTGCTCTGGGCTTTCAGCCTGCTGCTTCACCAGGGAGAGGGCTGCCTCAGCTAGCTCTGGGCAGAGGAAGGCTGGAAGTGGAGCTGAGACCTGGGTGGGTGGTAGACTGCCCTGGGGAGATGGTGCAGATGTCCCAGGCTAGGGCGCTGCCTCCCAGTGGGAAGTGAGTGCTGCAATTATGAAGGAGGAAGCGGGGTAAACCGCGGCAGAGGCAGGCTCCTCCTTCCAAGGCCCTGCAGCCAGCCCAGCATGAATGGCGTCGCTGCCCAGTTACAATGCTGAAAGCAGCTCCTGGAATCCAGTGAGTACTCAATAAATAACAGCTACATCATCATCACGGCTATTCTTACTTGCTAGTGCGTTCAAGCTGTCATCTCCCTGTGCCTACTTTACAATCATCTCCATTGTGACAATTACCCTGGGTGTACAGATGGGAAAGTCACACCCGGGGAGATTAGGGAGCCACACAAGGGCACAGGCCAGCAGCAAGATGGTACTGAACTAGAAATAGAACATGCCTCTTTCTGAACCCTGCCCCGAGGACCTGGGAAGCAGGGACTGCAAATCCTGCACTTGCAGGGTAAAGGCCATGGGCACCCGTCCCAGGGCTGCATCTGCCTGTGTTGACCCAGCATCACCTGTGCCTAAGGTCACGGTGGGGGGTCAGAAGTCGGGGAGTTTCCTTTGCCAGGTCACCTGGGATTGTACTGAACTTCCTCACTGCCTGCAAGCTTCAGCATCGCCACCAGCATCCCAATCTCTACCAGCCCCGAGGGTTTCTTTAACAGGCCCAGGCTGCTAGTCTGTACATTGATCTTCCAGCCGAGGAGGCCTGCAACCCTCCTAGGCACAGTGCTGTAAGCACGAGGCCACGTGGGCAAGGAAAGCACTGTGTTGTTCTTGATGATATGTCTGCTGGGAGGACAACCAGCACCAATGTCTGGGGGCTTCCTCAGAAAGGAAAAGAAACACACCTCACATCAGAAACTTAGCATGACCAGGACAGTAAGGAACTCACATCCCTCAAATACTAGCTGCAATTACAGGTAACACTTTTCACTCAAACAGTAAACAGAAATGGTCACCTCGTATTAAGCCTGGCTAAAGTCTGCAAGGCCATTTTGGAAGAAGTCTGATTATTTATTTTTTATTTTTATTTATTTATTTATTTTTTGAGATAGAGTCTTGCTCTGTCACCCAGGATGGAGTGCAGTGGCACAATCTTGGCTCACTGCAACATCCACCTCCCGGGATTCAAAGCGTTTCTCTGCTTCAGCCTCCCAAGTAGCTGGACTACAGGCGCACATCACCACACCCAACTAATTTTGGTATTTTTAGTACAGACAGGGTTTCACCATGTTGGCCAAGTTAGTCTCAAACTCTGACCTCAAGTGATCCGCCCACCTCACACCGTCCCAAAGTGCTACAGGTTTACAGGCGTGAGCCACTGTGACCGGCCCCTGTTTATTTTTGGAGACAGAGTAATAAGTACTTTGCCAGGGCCATTTCAGTGCCATGGGCCTGAAGCTGTCCTTAGTTTTCATAGGCTGGCTGCAGTCCTGAGAATTCTCATGTGGTTTATGTTTAACCTTACACATCTCCTGGGCTCAGCCCCACTCCACAGACCGAACCGCTGTAGCATGCCTCAGTGCACCCGGGTAGCGTCCAGCTGAGGGAGCATCGCACACGGCCCGCCGGCCCCAGGGTTCAGGCACCTGAGAGACCGATCGGGAGGCTTGGCCTTTCGGGGAGTGCCATGGCTGGGCTCGCCCTGCCGGACCTCCAGAGTGCGGCTCCTTAGCCCCTGATCCCCAACAGAAGAATTTCACATCTTTTACTGAAGAACAACTGCTGGGGCAGCAGCCTCAAGTTCCTTCTCAGAAGGGGGTTTATTCGCAGGCAAATGGAGCTGGGCCCACCATGGTGAGGGGCGTCTGCAGCAGCAGGTCTTCAGAGCCCCTGCCTCCAGTGTGCAGGGGCCACCTAGGGAGCCGCTCAGTTGTCCACTGGGGCCCAAGGCTCCCGGGCAGCAGAATGCTGCTGGCCTGTGGGCCACATGGCATCTGCAACCAGGGACTAGAGATAAGAAATGCATGCTATATAGGCTATAAGTCTGACCGCTGGGGAGGCGGGTCCTTAAAGGAGCCTGGCCGAGGCTGGTGGAGGCTGCTGAGAAGCTCCGGGAGCTGAGGAACAAGCAGGACAGGGCCCACTGGGGGCATGTGAGATCCACTAGCATCACTTGTCTGCATCCAATAGTCGGCGTGAGTGCAGTTTTAGCAGGTTTGGTGAATTTGGTCTGTGATAAAATTGGAGTTCAAGAAACAAACAGGAAACTACAAGTGCCCCTTCGCCCCCAGGTCACCCGAGTGGCAGGGCAGTGACTACTGCTCTCAGGCTGCCCAGTGTGGACCTGCCTGTCGGAATTCTCCTCCTCCACGTTCCTCACTCCGTGTGCAGCCCGTGCACCTTCCCTCTACTTCTGGGACCCCTGGACCAGATCTGCCCCTGTCTCCTCAGGCCTGCTCCTCTTGGCCACATAAGACCTCAGCTGAAACATTGCCTCCTCAAGAGGCCTTCCAGACTATTCAGCTCACAGTGGCCACCCAGCCATGCTCTGCCATGGCAGGGATTATTTATTACTGCAACATACACAGCCCATATCAATACGAAGGCACCCAGTGAAGACCTGCTAAATGGTGGACAAGAGACCCTGGAGCTGCCCCCAGGAGAGTAATCACGCTGGATGATTGTGTGTGATGGGGACTTAGGAACTCACAGTTTAGGGGCACAGTGGGCCTGAGGCATCTCTGTATGAGTAAAAGTAAGCCTCAGGCAAGGGGGTTTGCATGGAGAACAAGGTGCTGCACCGACACAGCTCCTACAGGAAGCAGCTTGGGAAGACCAGTGCAAACCCCCAACGCACACAGCATCTGAAACATGCTGGGCACATAGAATCTGCTTAAGGAATCAGAGACTAAAAGATCAGCTTAAACAAATAACTCTTCTAAAGATGATTTATTTATTGTCCCACCCTCACAGGCACTGAGAGTGTGGCCAGGCAGGCTAGATCGCTTTACTGTGTTTCATTCTGCTTGGGTTCATGTTTACTTTTCCTGGAAGATAAAGGCATTTAATACATATTTGCTCTTATTAATAGTATTCAACCCCTCCTGCTTTTTAATCTAGAAAGCTCTTTGAGGAAAGAAGGTTTTTACTATTAAGGGGAAAATAAGGGAAAAGAGGAGGAGGAGTCATTGGATGCCTGCTATTCCTCAGGAGCTCTCCCCGTTAATCATCTCCATGCTAAACATTACACTAAGGCTCACATCTGACCCTCTGTGGCATCCTCACCACCCTGCAGGTAGGTCTCATCCCCATCTCACATTTGAGAACAAGTGGTGAACTCTGCAGGGCACAGCCCCAGCTGCAGTGCCTCTCAACCTGTGGCCCAGATGCCCGCATGGCCTCGTGGTCACCCAGCAGTAGCAGAATCACATGTTCACCGCACTCCCTTCCCAAGGATGCATGTGGCAGAATGGGACACTCTTCCGTGGTCACTGCCCTGCATGCTTCCCCAGTGAAAAGCCACCAAGCAGGTGGCTGACCACACGTGACCACACATGTAAAGGCAGACATGAAATGTGGCAGGGACAGGAGAGGGAACAGCAGTCACCAGCACCCAGTCCCTCCCAGCACCAGCCCGAAAGACAGACACCGCCGACACTGTCGAAACCATGCCACCGTCACCTTTCCAAAATGTTTCCACATGACCTAGCAATATCTATCAACATTACCAATAGGCCTAAGCTTTGAACTCTCTGCCTGGAAACATCTACAGTAGCAGCAGGGCAAAAGCACAGGATGGTATCCACTCCATGGACTTGGAGACAATCAAAAGGTCTAACAACGGGGCAGTGTTTAGCAAACTGTAGTTATACTATTATTATTATTATTACTATTTAGAAGACTGAGTCTCACTCTGTCACCAGGCTGGAGCGCAGTGGTGCAATCCTAGTTTACTGCAGCCTGAAACTCCTGGGCTCAAGCAATCCTCCCACCTCAGCCTTTGCCACCACACCCAGCTAAGTTACAAAATTAAATCCCATGCAGCCACTAAAGAAATGACTTGGCCCTTAACTTATTGAGTGGGTAAGTATTCCTAATGAAGATTAAGCTACAGAAATTGGGCACAGAAACGATGGCACAGAAAATGTCTAGAATGTTTTTCCCCAGACTGGTAACTGCTGCCAGCTCTGGGGAGGGGCTTATAGGTGGGAAGAGGTGCTTTCTACCAGATCCAGTCTGGCGTTGCATGAATTCACACATACAAAGCCGGGCAGCTTCATGACTGAAGTCCTGCTGAAGCGCGTATTGGCTCTGAGGGTCTAAGGCAAGTGCACCCTCTCCTGCTGCAGGGCAGGCCACTCACCTGACCCCAGGGTCCGCAGGGAGGAGCGATCGTACTTCTTCACCCAAGCATCACCGTATTTCAGCAACAGCCGGACAGCCGTTGGAGCGCCATAGAACTGATTGATCTTCAACCTCTCTACTGTCTCCCAGTACCGACCTACAGAAAGGCCGAAATTCACCGTCAGCAGGAGAGCTGACATGATCTACTTTAAACTTAGAGATCAGCCAAGACTTCCCGAGTGCTGGGCATGTGCAGACGTGCATATGTCCATATAAAAAGGATCCCTCCCAACCCCCCCACCAGTGAAAGACGGAAAGAAGCCCCATAGGACAAGTCTCCAATGGCTGGTCTCCTCCCAGCACTCCCCAGATCCATGGGTGGCATATTCAGGAACAGTCTTCACCTGGCTTAGGGTGATGGCCTAGTTCAAGGCGATACTATGTGGATTTAATAACCCGTGGAGCATTAACACAGAGCTTTCACTCGGTCACACTTACATGGGCTCTAAAGTGGTGACTGGGGCTTCCCCTCATGACAGCAGAGCTGCCACTGTGTGTGTCCCAGGGAGCAGGGCCATATGCCCAGCATGCACACCCCTGATTCCTGTAAACCCACCACCCACACCATCCCCTCCACATGGGACACTGAGCTTCCAGGGGCTGAAGTGGTGGCCTGAGACAGCACCTGGGCCATGGCCCTTAATCCCTGGTCTTGCCCCTACAACTTCTTCCTTGAGCACACCCAGACCCCAAAGGCAGGGATGGAGCAGTGGGAGGTGATAACACAGTTCATGCACAGTTGTCAGCGCCATGGAACGCTGTGGCAGCAGCCTTTGGGCAGAGCCACCATGGTCTTCTTACATTAAAGCAGGTATTTGAAGACACTGCTGTGTGGGAGGACGATGCCCAAGGGAGCCAGACTTCACCTTGTTTTCAAAGTGATCTCAATGTAATGGAGATGGTTCTAGGCCATGCATAACATGGTCTGAGGGATGGCCCTGAAAGTTCAAGGGGCAGGGCTTGGGAAACAGAAGAGGCAGGCAGCTGGTCCTAGCCTCGAGAAAGGGCTGGATCTGGGCAGGCGGCCTAGAGGTGAGAAGGATACCAAAGTGATGGCCCGAGGCCGGCAGTTTAAGTCAGAGGGCAGGACTACAGGAGCAGGGGCCTTGAGATGTCCTCCAGCGCCAAGTCACACTCCCTGCTGCTGCCCGTCGGATCTTTCTGAAGACCCGGTGCCTGGCCCCACCAGGCATCTCGACAGCAGGACCTGGAGAGCCACACCCTCACCAGAGCCCAGGTGTCCCCCTTCCATGAACCTCTCCACAAGCCTCAAGCCTCAGGCTCTCTCTCCTGACACCAGCATGGGGTCCCAAACAGGGTTCACCATCCTTACCAGCATTGGGGTAAACTGGGGTGCTCTCAAAAAGGACACTGGTGGCTCCATTGCAGAGAGGCCCATACACCACATAGCTGTGTCCTGTAATCCAGCCAATGTCAGCCACACAGCCGAAGATGTCACCTGGCCGGTGGTCAAACACAAGCTGCAGAGACAGGAAGGGAGCATCAGGAGCTTGTCCCCCCACTCCACCATGTTCACCAGGTCACTAGGAAATCAGCATGCATATGCTGCAGGCCACAGCTGTGAGAGGCAGCTGGCTCATCAAACGGCCTCCAGCAGCAGGACAGGTGGGAACACTGCAGAGTCCGTCTAGTTGTATGTTTAACACGTGGACACCTTTTTGCATTGCCTTATGCCACGATTTTTTAAACCCCTTAAGAACTACAAAAAATAAAAGTCAAAAAGGCCAAGAATGGCATCAAGCATCATCAGCTTCAAGAAGCATGAGAGGACAGACATCCGAATCCCCTTTATTCTTCCACAGCAGCTCACTGGAGCCTGATCCCATCTCAGGATCCAACTGCCCATATGCAGGAAACACAGAGGGCAGAGGGACAACAGGCACAACCCAGACTAAAGGACACCAGAGAAAAATGGCTGGACACGATAATGGCCAAGTGTAAGGAAATGGGGGAGCATAGGCTTAAAAGGACTTAAAAGACATATCAACAATATTTTAGGCCGGACTCAGTGGCTCACACCTATAATTCCAACATTTGGAGCGGCCAAGGCGGGCGGATCACTTGAGGTCAGGAGTTCGAGACCAGCCTGGCCAACATGGCAAAACACTGTCTCTACTAAAACTACAAAAAAAATTTAGCAGGGTGTGGTGGCAGGTGCCTGTAATTTCAGCTACTCAGAAAGCTGAGACAGGAGAGTCACTTGAACCCAGGAAATGAAGGTTGCAGTGAGCTGAGATCACACCACTGCACTCCAACCTGCACAACAGAGTGAGACTCCATGAAGAAAAAATACATATTTTAATGGGCAACGGTAAGCTACAGTGCCCATGGACACACATACGAGCCACAAAACTATCAAAAGAAAAACACAGGGCAGGGGCGCAAGACGCATCAGGACACATTGGACGGGGCTGCAGCCACATGGGCCTGGAAGGGGCTTCTGAGAAACAGGTGGCCTTTTCACCTCTTGATCAAAGTGGCATTTGCTTTATAATAATTCATTAAGCCACACATTTAATTTGGGTGGTTTTCTGTATCTGTCCTAAAAAGAGTTTTAAAAAATCTTTGGGTGAGTGGCCCTTAGTGTCCTGCTGCCACGTTACATGGTCAGATTCTCTGGGAGTTTCTAGACAGTGCAGGGGGGGCTCGAGGCAGCCAGGGCCCTGAGGAGCTGTGGGGTGGGGAGACTCGAGGGGCCCTGCCCCAAATAGGACAGGAAGAAACACTGACCTCTCACACCTACAGGCCTCGCTCTGCAGCAGGAGGACTTCTGGCCCTGCCCCTGCCTGGAGCCCTGCCGAGGGCCCAGCACCACCCCGCACAGGCCTGTACCTTGTGGGTCAGGGCGGCATAGAGCAGGTAGCCTGCCTGGGTATGGACAATGCCCTTGGGCATTCCAGTGCTCCCTGAGGTGTACAGCATGAAGAGCACGTCCTCGCTGCCCATGCTCTCTGGGACGCATACAGGGTCTTCCTTGGCCATTTCCTGGAAGGGACAAGAAACAAAGAGCCCACCGAGGGCACTCAGCCTCTGAGAGCACCACTCCCCCTCCGCAGCAGGACTCCGCACACGGGATTCAGAATTCACCTGCTCTGACCTGTCCAAGTTCAATTCCAAATGTGGAAAGGACACAAAACAAAAGGGTGGGTGCAATCATTTGTGTTACAGTAAGTGTTCCAACCTCCCTGTCATATTGGAGTTTTATCTTCCCACACAGTACTCAAGCTCACCAAATACCACAGAGGAAACCTGGGCACCTCTAGGGAACCCAAATTGAGAACTACAACCCAAGAAGTCTCAGAGCTAACTAACTTGATATGACCCCTCCTCAAACTATGCAAAGTGAGGTAACCTACCTGCTCCAGCGGGACATCCAGATCCCCCATGTGGACCTTGTTGTCTGTCCTGTGAGCCACCAGGACACGCTGCACGGTGGGGCAGTGCTTCACAGCCTCGTCCACTATTTTCTTCAGCTCCATCACGCACCCACCCCGGAGTCCTTGGTTGAAGGTGATAACCACCCTGCACTTGGCTAACAGAGACAACACAGACATTTCTGATCAGTCTCCTCCCGACTTTGGCCCTCATAGCTCTGACTCACATAGAACAACCAGGCCTAGGACTGTGAGAAACTCAGTCCCATCTTGAGTAAAAGACTCGATGGAAAAAGTGTGGAGCTGTCTGCTCTCCAGCCTTTGTGTGCCATGAAGAAGCACCAGGCCTTTGTCCAGTTCTGAGGCTAAGGGGAAGGAACCAGAGATAAATCACTTTGAAGCTCAACTCTTCCTCCTTGAGTCAGCAGCATAAAGACAATTTGCCAACCAGACTTCCACCTTTCTCTCCTGTCTGCCCAGGAGCAAACCCCAGGAAAGGGGCCATCATGCCACCTGCAGCAATCAAGGTGACAGAGAAACACCGAGAAGCAGAGACCAAGAAAGTTGGACAAACAGAGGCCAAGCCCAAAGGTGTCCCATGTGGCCAGGCCCTGTCTAGAGTGACGTGTGTGGGTCAAGAGCCTTCACTGTCCAGAGATCAGAAACTACACCCCAGTGGATGATTGGGAGCTGCTTGCCCTCCTCACCTTCAGGAGAAGGCCCTCCTGATCCCACACCTGCTCTTCAATGACCAATGGTGCTCAGCCAGGCCCAGGGGGAAGCCAGGAGGACCCTAGCTTCCATGGTTAACCTAGGGGGAGGCCCAGAGCAGGGAAGAGGGGTGCACACACAATGGACCTCGAGACCCCAGGAAAAGGAGGTGTCCGCCATGCTGTTCCCCAGTGCGGGATCCCCAGAGGGATCACAGCTGCAGGGGGTTACTACACAGCCCCTCAGGAAGAGCCTGGGACAAATGTCCAGCTGTGATCCTGACTGGCAGGGCCTCACCCACACCCCTCAGGCCTTTCACTCATTTTGCACCAAAGGCCTCTTGCAGAGCTATGGACAGAAGTGCTTGGGAACCCTCGACCAATGACTCTCAATAGTTGGGGTACAAATCCTGCAACTCCCCACCCTTTGCATGGAGCCATTTGAGGCATGTGTGCCACATTCCTGTCCAGAGCCTCTCTGCAGATGAATCTCCGGTCACCCTCTGTGGCCTCACTCAACACTGCCCTACCACACTTCCAAGACAGACTCTGGTCTCAATGTTCCCTTTGGGAGAGTCCTACCTAAATAAATCTGAAAGCACTTTTGCGCAACATGCCCACCCTTTCTCCTCCTGAGAGCCCTGGAGATGTCACGGCCATGAAAGTTCCCTGAGAATTCTGCAGCACACACAGGACCATCCAGGGGTCAGAGAGATACTCTAGGCTGCCCTTGTGCAGCCACCCCTGCCTGGCACCAAGAGCCATGGCTACACACACTCTTTGCCCTGCAAGCTTCAGTGATAGCTCACCTGGGGAAACCAAGTCAGTTGGGTGGAGCCTATCAGAGACTTTCCAGACCTACATCCCCGAGTAGGGGTTGGTCCAGGCAAGCCCCCTGTAAGCGAGGAAGGGAGATGCTCCAGCAGGAGGGAATGAACCTTTCTCAAGGGTATGGGAGACAAAGAAAGCTCATGGGGATGAGGATCTTTCATGAAACAGTGACCACAGCCCGTGCAACATCCTGAAATCACACTACACAGCAGGCAGTTCCTTCCCTGCCTCCCAAGGCACACACCTCGCTCCTGACTCGCACCTGTCCAGGGCCTCCCTGCCCAACAGGCTCTCCATGAGAGGCCTCCAGGAGGTACCCAGGAGCTTCTGAGCACCATAAGCATGTCTGGCCCACTGGTGCCTTCCAAGGCTGGGTCACAGCATGGGTGCTGGCAGGAACCACGTGTCACTCTGGGAGGATTTGACTTTCCCTCCCTGGATTTGAGCAGGCACCAGCATCTGCGTTCATTTTCTGCTGCTTCCATAACAAATAACACAAACTCAGTGGCTCGGAACACTCATTTTTAGCTCACAGTTCTGTTGTCTGGACAGGCTTGGCAGGGTTCTCTGCTTAGAGTCTCGCAAGGCCAAAGTCAAGGACAGAGCTGGCTCCTATGTGGTGGCTCTGGGGAAACATCCACCTCCAGGCTCATTCAGTGGTTGGCAGAACTCAGTTCCACGCGACTGTGGGATTAGGGTCGCCCTTTCCTTGCTTACTGTCAGCCAGGGGTCATTCTCAGCGACTACAGCCACCACCTGCCCTGGTTCATGGCCCTGTTTATCTTCAAAGCCAACAATGGCGGGTAAAGTTGCTTTGAATCTCTCTGACCTCTCCTTCTGCTTCACTTCCTCTGCCTCTACTGGGAGCAAGTTCTGTGCATTTAAGGGCTACGGGATTAGATGGAGCCCACCTGGATATCCCATTGCCTTACATCTGCAAAGTCCTTTCACCATGCAAGTGACATGGCACAGCTTCCGGGGGATTACAGTGTGGCCATCTGAGTGGGTCATTATTCTGCCCCCACAGCCTCTCTCAAAGCCATTCCCCTGACCTCTATCCTCCCCTCCAACACCCTCTACTCCTCAAGCAGCCTAAAGCAAGAGGGAAGACAAATGAAGAGGGATGGTCCAAGCCTGGAAGTCAGGCCAGGGGAAGGAACTCTGGAACTGCGCCTGCTGACTGAGGTGGCTGCCCAGACATGTGATACCCTGGCGGTCAGACTCACAATATGCACCCACCTCCCAGCGACCAACTGAAGATGGCTGCACATTCTTTCACCTGCTCTTACAGAGAAGCCGGATCCAGGTCTCCTCCCCTTGAATCTGGAATGGCCACAGACTGGTTTGGCCAATCTAGTAAGGCAAGAGTGATGCCAGACCTGTGCCAGCCTGGCCTGTAGGACACTGGCAGTTGCTATTTCCTTCCTCTTGGAGCCATGTGCTGCCATGTGACAAGCCTGACTACTGAGGCTGCAAGGCTATGAGGAAGCCCAAGTCAGCCACGTGTAGAGGCCACATGGAGAGAAAGAGAGGCCCACCAGTCCCCAACCCTTCAAGTCAACCTGACTAATGTCCCAGATGTCATGGAGCAGAGAACAGCCATTCCCCGTCCCCATCTGATTCCTGTTCCACAGATCTATGAAATAGAATAATAAAATTTATAGTTTTCAGTTGTTTTAAGCACTAAGTTTTGGAGTAGTTTGTGACACAGCAATAGAAAATCAAAACAGCCCCTCATTGACTCAAGAGGACACAGATACCCATCTTAATAGAATCTTGTCCCCAGGAACCTGGCACCCACAGAGCTGCACAAGGAGGCTGAAGGATATCAGAGTCCTCTTCAGAACAGACTCCTGGCCCCTGCCCTCTCATGCTTGGTTGTTTAGCAATTCTGAGGTTCTGGGAGCACCCCAGCATCCAGCTACTAAATCCCCATATGCTGAAGTCACCAAGAGTCAACTGCTATTGCTTGTTTCAAACAATCTTAACAGAAGCACTGGGTGACCATGGCCACACCAGCAAGAGAGGAAAGGGGCAGCTTAGCATAATGCTGAAAGCATGAACTATGGCGGCAGAATGTCTGTGTTCAACTCCTGACTCTGTCAATTACTAGGTATGTGACCTTAGATAAGTCACTTAAACTCTCTGCGTCTCAGTTTACTCATCTTTAGAAAGAGAATAGTAACCTCCCAACAAAGAAAAGACCAGAACCAAATGACTTCACTGGTGAAGTCTATCAAATATTTAAAGAATTAGCAACCAATCCTTCTCAAACTCTTCCAAAAAACTGAAGAGAAGGAGATACTTTCAAATTCATTTTATGAGGCCAGTATTGCTCTGATACTAAAGCCAGACAAAGATTACTACAAAAAAAGAAAACTATAGACAAATATCTCATATAAACAATGATGCAAAACTCTTCCACCAAATGCTAGCAAACTGTACCCAGCAGCATATTAATAGAATACACCATGACCAATCAGGACTTACCCTAGGAAAAGTGGTTCAACATGCAGCAATCAATCACTGTAACACATCACACTACTCCAATGAAGGAAAAAACACATCTCAATTGACACAGAACAAGCTTTTGACAAAATCCAATACCCTTAGATGATCAAAAACTTAAAACCAGGAATAGAAGGGAACTTAATTGATAAAGGGCATCTGAAAACCCACAGTTAACATCATATTAATGGTAAAAGGCTGAAGCCTTCCCCCTAAGATCAGGAACAAAACAAGGATGCCCACTTTTTACCACTGCAATTCAACATTATAAAAGAAGCTGTTGCCAGAGTGATTAGGCCAAAAAAAAAAAAAAAGAAATAAAAGACATCCAAATTGGAAAGGAAAAAGTAAAACTATCTCTAGTCACAGATGACATGATCTAATATGTATAAATCCTAATGAATCCACAAAAAACTCTTTATTAGAGCTAATAAATCAGTAAATTTGCAAGATACAAGATCACTATGCAAAAATTAGCTGTATCTCTATATATTAGCAATGAACAATACATAAAGGAAATTAGTAAAACAATTCCATTTATAAAAATTCATAAAAGAATAAAATACTTAGGAATAAATTTAGCCTAGGATATGCAAGACTTGGACACTGAATACTACAAAATACTGCTGAAAGAAATTTTAAAATACCTAAGTAAATGGAAAGATACTCCATGTTTGTGGATTAATATTGTTGACATGGCAATACCCTCCAATTTTTTTACAGATTGAATGCAATCAAAATCCCAACATCTTTTTTTGTAGAAATGGAAGAGCTAATCCTAAAATTCTTATGAAAATACAAGAAACCCAGAAGAGCCGAAATGATCTTGAAAAAAAAAAGAACAAAGTTGGGAGACTCACACTTCCTGGTTTCAAAACTTACAAAGCTACAATACCAAAACAGTTTGGTACTGAGATAACAACAGATAGATAATCATATGGATAAATGGAATAGAATAAAGAGCCCAGAAATAATCCCTTCCATATATGGTCAAATTATTTTCAACAAGAGTACCAAGTCCACTTAACAGGGAAAAGAATAGCCTCTTCAACAAACAGCACTGGGACCAATGGATAGCCACAGGACAAAGAATGAAACTGGACGCTTACCTCACATCCTGTGCAAAAATCAGCTCAAAAGTAAAGACCTAAATGTAAAAAGGTAAAACTTAAACTCTTTGAAGAAAACATATGAACAGGGAGGCCGAGGCGGGTGGATCACGAGGTTAAGAGATCGAGACCATCCTGGCCAACATGATGAAACCCCGTCTCTACTAAAACTACAAAAGTTAGCTGGGTGCAGTGGCACGCACCTGTAATCCCAGCT